CTTTGGGGGAGTGTTAGGTGATTTTGTAGCTTTTTGTTGGCTTGAGATATTTGAAAGGATTCGACGGAGATCGCTGTATAGTCCGCGAACATGGATAGCTTTGTACGCGGAGTGGAGGGGGTCGTTGATGTGCGGAGATAGGCAGCTTCCTTGGGGGACACCAGCTGGTTATGTTTGTGGTGGGAATAGTTTAGAGTTTGCTCTAACTCTGAAGCTCCTATTGTTTAAGAAGGGTTTTGCGATGTTGATTAGGTGTGGTGGGGACATCTTGCTGGATTAATTTGTGGATGAGGGCGTCATGCCAGACGCTGTCGAAGGCTTTTTCCATGTCAAATGTGACAAGTAATGTTACTTTATTAGTGTTGTTAACGTAGCTACTTGCTGGTCTCTGAAACCGAATTGTTCGGGTCTGATTGAACTGTTTCCGAAATCGAATTGTATGTATCTATCGAAAATAAGTCTTTCTAGGATAAAATTAGATGGAATAAAGTTACACAATGACTTTCTTAAGAAGTTGCTTTAGAACTTTACTTGTAATATGGTCGTATCCGGAGGCTTTAAGAGGATTGGATCGTTTGATAATGTTGAGAACTTCCTTGGGCGAAGTTAGGTCGGTTGTCGACGTTTAGTGAACTGTTAAATTGTGGTCTATAATGGATTAATTAACAAGGTTGTGAGTTTCTGGGCTTAACATGTTGTTTGCGTTGTATGTAGTTAGATTTATAGGAAAAGGTTTAGGCTACAGTTGATGTTATATCAACATAACTGTAATCACTCCTACAATAAGTGTTATATACATTCAAAACGCCGAGGTCGCTTGCGGCCGAGGCGCTAGAGTTGATTTTATATCAACATAACTGTAATCACCACTACAATAAGTATTATATACAGTGTGTCCCCGGATAGGTGAAACGACTCTTATAAAAGGTAAAAATTTTTTGATATTGATTGTTATTTTTTGAGGTTTAGCCCTGCTTGGTTAAAGACTAATTTTGAACATATTTTTAATTTTTAAAAAACAAGTGAGCCTTGACAGTGAAAGAAAAACTTCTTTTGTGGTAGGTAAAGTACCTTTTCTGTTTACAGTACGTGAAAGTGTTACTAAGAAGTTTTGTTCAGAATGAAAAACTATGGCCAAATACAAATTTTCGGAATGATCGGCCTACTTTGATAAAACTCATTGTTTATTATTTGCGTCAATAGTACTTTATTACGATTTTTTGTTTTGAGATTCAAATTGTTCGGGAGAAATAAACAAAACGTTATTAAAATGTTCAAAACAAATTAAGTGTTTATTCGCCTACAAAAAAAACTACTTCAAATACTACTTTTTAGTACTCTCTCGGTTAAAGCAACAACCGATACAATTGAGAAGTACCACTAAAAAAGGTTCTTAGCAACTTTTAGTCGAACAAAAATATTGACGTGAACTCGTCGAACGTCTGCTCATCAACTCCGCTTTTTATATGAAAAATACAACAGAAAAGGAAAGAGGAAAAGGAAAGGAAAA